ACTAGCACCCGGTTCATGCTGGTGGAAAAGGGGTATGACTGCATGACATTCAATGAGGTGACTAGAAGTTCATATGTCCAACCTTAAACATTGGGGGTTCAAAAGCCTGAGATCATTCATCATCTTCTAGTTTAATATAAAACTTAGAAAATGTATATAAAAAAACTAAATTTCTTAGCATTTGGTATGTCTTCTTTTTGCTTTAATGACAGCACATTATTTAAGAATGTTCGACAGATCGAATTTCCAATGGAATCTGACCTTTTGTGCAAATTACATAATGCAGAATAATATTTCTTAATTTTACATCATAATGTTCCATTGCATTTCATGTTTCTTCAAAACCCCAAATCTCACCCAAAATTATTTATAGGACCAATGTAACAAAAACAGACTTTAAATTTGGATACAGACTTTTACACCCTTACGACTGTATATGATAAATAAATGACACAGTACCATGACCCCTTAGGTCCCATGTAGACAAACCGATAATCATCCACTTCAATTGTGTCCCAATATTCATTCAGCCAATCAGAGGAGAAGTAAATTGGCGTCTTGTAAGAATTATGTTCAGGAAAGTTCCTAAAATGAACAAACACATTCAACATTATGACAGTAAAATCATTTTACTTTCTTTATTTTACTACAGTGTTTCCAAACTAGTATTGTGCATCACATTCAAAGCTATTGTACTATAACCCATGCTACACGCTTTTGAAGAGCTGTACCTTTGCATATGCCAGTCCTTTAAGTAAAGGCATCCTTTTGGTGAAGAATGCCCATTCTGAATGTACTCTCTCCAGTACTGGATAAACTCCTTAAAAGGCATGATCTGCTTTGGGTTGGAGTTGTATTCTTTTGCACTGCAGTTTGCAACAGGAACAGGTGTCTCATCTGCATAATAAAATGAGGCCATTTGTGGATATAACATATTGAGTACACACATACATACATTTACCAGCAACTGGTCAACTTTCAAAAATTGGTATTCAACAATACACAGCAAAATGATCTTGAATTAATTAAATTTTAATCTAGCAATGTAAGATACATGTTTCAAATCACTCTTAAGAGAAGCTGAAAGGAACACGTTACAGTTCTGTAATGCGCAGTTATCACATATATTTCCTCAATTCCTCAGATTGTAGAGATTTATAATTATTACTAACTTCTAATGCATGACACATTGATGCAAGAATGATAAATATATAAAATGCATTCTTTGCTCACCAAATTCTTGCAGAAGTCTTTGTAAGTTAGGTTTTCCATCGGCCGTGACCCATTTTTTTCTGCAGTTCCAGTCTTCTGTGAATTTTTTGGAAAACATGCAGGGTTGGTTTGGGATCAAGTAGTTTTTGATGAATTTGGAGTAGGCTATTTCTCTCTCTATGTACTGAATGAAATGAGAGGAGCAGTGCTGTTGATGGATCTGCCTGGGCATTTTGACCAAACTGCAGCAGTTATTAAAGGTTTCCCTATCCATGACATAACACGAAGTTTCCACAGGTTATTTCATGCTTGATGTAATAATATTAAACACAAAACCTTAAATAAAACTCAATGCTGCGGACTTAATAGCAGAACACATTTGATCAGCCCCATGCTTCTCTGATGGCACGCTTTGCGTGGTTATTTTAAGACTGTAGAAGCGCAACTAATGTATCGACGGTTTAACGTCGCGCTTACGTGTAATTAAACGATCGATACTAGGCGATTATCTTTTTCTATATGCTTATAAATCGAAAATAATTGGGGTTTTCTGCGTCAATCTTGGAACATGTCTGCCCAGTTTCCCACCGGAAAAGAAACGTGTGCACACCAACCCAATGATTAGCTTTTCTTCGTGCGTACAAAAATGAGCTGTATAATACAAAAAGCAAGTTAATTGAATACCATTAAATGACCTGTAAATAAATCTAAGTCGACGCCCCTAATTAGCCATCGCCACATCATATATATGTGTGACGTTGAGCGGAACCTTTAATAAAGTTTTTGTTTTTTTGCACGTCGGAGTGTAAACATGAGCGCACTTAAACAATCACCGCTGCGTTCAGTCTTTGGTTCAGCTGTGTTTACATCGCTACGACGCGACAGGAGGTTTTTTTTACGTTTCTTCTTATTTAGGGCGTTGTATTAAACGTTAACGGGACACACTGAGGCGGAACAGTACATGTCTCGCAACTGACTACGATGCGTAGAGATGTTATTGTTTTAATGCGTGAAATACGTCACACCCTGCTGTAGCTGTCACTTGAAAGTCAACCTCATCAAAAAAAAATAAAAATAAAAGTCAGCCTCATCCTAAAAGGTATGGCATAAATGATCTCCATGGTGTTTGTTTTGCGTATATTATGTAATGCCAACCACTCCAGCATCTACTGTTACTGCGCATACAGAATCACGCGAAAAAAAGCAATGTAAAGGGTCTTCAAATAATGCTTATAAACCACTATTTATTTTGTGATTCCAGAAGAATTCATGAACTGCATGTATTAAAAACGAAAGAAAAGAAGCATTTCAATTCTTCATTTTCATTTAGTGTTTTTTTTTTTATAATTTAAATTAAGCAAGAATAATATTAATTAAAATAATGTATTAATGGAAATAATCTTACATTTTGTGGCCCCGTTGGAAGTTTGTCGGGGCCCCCTGCTTTTGTGTTCCTCTTAAAGAAAATTGCACAGAGCTGTGTTTCCCCAAAAGCATCGTATGCTTAAGTTGATTGTAAAACTATTATCACTAATAGAGCTACGATCAACTTAGGTTTACGATGCTTTTGGGAAACGTAGCCCAGGTTTGTAGCAACATGTTGTTGAGAAAATAACAAGTATGCTGTTCATGTAAGTAAAAGTGACTGATCATGACTGCGTGCTTACTAATTTTCTATATACACCACTCACTTGGCAGGTGAGCTCCCTAAGTCCGGGCCACTGTGCCAAATCAGAAAAAGATGAGCCAGGAGACATCCATCCATAGCTGGCCCGGCTCTTATTACATCAACATGGTGTTTGTTTTGCGTATATTATGTAATGCCAACCACTCCAGCATCTACTGTTACTGCGCATACAGAATCACGCGAAAAAAAGCAATGTAAAGGGTCTTCAAATAATGCTTATAAACCACTATTTATTTTGTGATTCCAGAAGAATTCATGAACTGCATGTATTAAAAACGAAAGAAAAGAAGCATTTCAATTCTTCATTTTTATTTAGTGTTTTTTTTTTTTATAATTTAAATTAAGCAAGAATAATATTAATTAAAATAATGTATTAATGGAAATAATCTTAAATTTTGTGGCCCCGTTGGAAGTTTGTCGGGACCCCCTGCTTTTGTGTTCCTCTTAAAGAAAATTGCACAGAGCTGTGTTTCCCCAAAAGCATCGTATGCTTAAGTTGATTGTAAAACTATTATCACTAATAGAGCTACGATCAACTTAGGTTTACGATGCTTTTGGGAAACGTAGCCCAGGTTTGTAGCAACATGTTGTTGAGAAAATAACAAGTATGCTGTTCATGTAAGTAAAAGTGACTGATCATGACTGCGTGCTTACTAATTTTCTATATACACCACTCACTTGGCAGGTGAGCTCCCTAAGTCCGGGCCACTGTGCCAAATCAGAAAAAGATGAGCCAGGAGACATCCATCCATAGCTGGCCCGGCTCTTATTACATCAACAGCGAGAAATGCTGGGCCAGCGGCATCCTCTCCATAAGCCGCACCACCTTACGCTTCAACTCTGAGCCGAATCAGGAGAATCTGATTAGCCTGAGGCTCTCCCGCATCATGGAGATCAAGATGGAGTCATCCAGCTTCATTTTCAGTGCTCTTACGGTGTTGGAGCAGGGAAACATCAAGCACTGGTTTGGCTCTCTCAAGCCTTGCCTTACTGCCGTTTACCACGTGCTGGAGCACTTCTGGAGGGAACGGCTGCTGTCACCCACAGAGCCCCGTGGAGCTGAAGCTCCTCTTAGTAAGGGCCAGGAGCTGATCAGCCTGATATCTGGAGCCCAGCGGAGGCTGGAGGATACTGGAAGAGTCCTGAACCACCAGGGAGAGCAGTTCGACAACATGATTCAGGGCCTGGACAAGATCGAGTCAGACCTGAGCGTGGCAGATAAGTAGGTTTTGCTCGGATTCAGAAACTGTGAAGCATAAATTATGCTAGAGACATGAATGATACTTAAAATTTTAATGAGGTCTTTCAAGGCTTATTGTGCTTCTAATAACTCATTTTAATGTTAATGGGGTCATATGATGCGATTTCAAGTTTTCCTTTCTCTTTGGAGTGTTACAAGCTGTCCGTGAATAGATAAGATCCCTAAAGTTGCAAAGACTAAAGTCTCAAACCCAAAGAGATATTCTTTATAAAAGTTAAGACTCGTCCACGCCTACCTGAAACGGCTCGTTCTAACACGCCCCCACATATCTACATCACTATGTGGGAAGATTTGCATAACGCCGCCCAAATGTTCACGCAAAGAAAGAAGACGTAACTATTATTCTCACTGTAGTTTTGTTGTTGCCGTCATATGACCCCTTTAAGCATGTCCCACTCTATACTTTCTCATTCATCCATGTTTCTTTGTCGCTCTAATGCAGTGGTCTCAAACTTAATTCCTGGAGGGCCACAGCTCTGCAGAGTTTAGACCAGCATTCCAGCTATCGTCTCCCATGTTGGAAGCTCTGGAACCATGAAACCAGGTAGCCTGATAGTGTTGGTCTCCTCTCTGGAGGTTCGAGATGCAAACGGACAGCTCCTCCATTGCTTTGAGAAGGAAGAGGTGGATGATGTCTATGTGCACAGCCCCTACGAGTTCAGTGTTCGCCAGCGCTTCATCGGAAAACCTGACATCTGTTTCCGAATTCTCTCTGCCAGGATGACTGAAGCTTTTTCTGTACTGGAGATGCAGTATAAGAAGAAAGTTGAGATCACGCGTGACTATGCAGCATTTCAGGCAACTTTGGCAACCACACCAGGAAGCCCAGAAGGTGGAGGAAACATTTGGAGTGCAGGTACTTATTTGGACAGTCGTATTTCATTGTTAGAACTTCAATGCCAGCTTTCAATCTAAACTAAAGTAGATTATATGACAGCAGACATAACTTGAGACGCATGACTTAAAATAATAGCTCTCTGCAAAGTCCTCGGGCACACCAAAATGTATACTTCTATTAGTCAAGGATGCATTGATTAAACTGATCACATATTACAAAAACAATGACAGTTTTTAATTCTAATGTTGCATTCTTCAAGCTTGCAAATAATGATCCTTCATTTGCAGCTTACCAGAAAATCTTAGGTTCTTTGCACATTGTATTTTTTATTTTATTTATTTTTGCCATTTGCAAGAAATGCAAGTGGGTCGTTCCATCTCAACCCATCCAAACGCACTCCCAAAACTTTGCATGGTATCCTTAGCAGCATGAAAAATAAGAATTTTATTAAAATTATGAATGGGTTATGTACTTGGTCTAACGTGCTAGAAAAGAGAGAGTCTGTAGTTTCTATTGCAACATCTTTTAAGTTCTATCTTATGCTGAGGAGACAAAGCAGACAAATCAGAAAGTTTAATAATGACGCAATCTTTATTAGTAGAAGTGATAGTTCTACCATATTTGTTCAGTTCAATTCAATTGTATCGTGAAAAATGTTATACAAAAACTTGAATATTTGTAACAAGGAGCGATTTTGCAGTCTTCACTAAACCGATACATGAGACTAGATAATGATCTGAGATATCATTGCTCTGCTGCAAAATTTCAGTGCCCACAATATAGGACAAAATTTGGTTTTTAGCCCCCAATGAATGCCTGTAAATGCCAATCCCAATGCTTCTTTTTTTTACTATCTACATGAATTAAGATCACTGCAGACAGCACTTACTCGGATAAAAAATCTGAAAATTCTGTGTTCTACATGGTGCCTTGGACAGTCAGAGACCAGTAGAATTGTCAAAATGATTTATTGTTTTTACTAAATAACATTATAAAACACCATCACTTCAAAATAAATTGTACTTGAAACCAGACCTCTGAGTAATACTGAAAATATTACTATAAATTGTTGCATCACCACTCCTTTTGCCCTTCAGATGAGGTAGTGTAATTGTCTGGTATTAGCCAGGTTTCTGTCAAACAGAGCACATCAAGCTTATGATCTGTGATCATATCGTGTACCAAAAGTGCTTTTGTAGAAAGGGATCTAATATTCAGCAAGCCAGGTTTTATCAGTTGTTTGTCTGCATTATATTTATTCTTGTTCTTCAGACATTCCCCTTAATAAATATCAGCTGTTTGCCAAGTGACCCACAGAGGCCTCATACACACTGCAGCTAAATGCAGTTGTTGATTCACCTTTTAGTGCTTTACGCACTGTTCAGCGGTTTACAGTAGTGATAACCGCATTCCACAATCAAATGTATACAGGTAGTGACAACCGCATTTACAAAAATGTCCACAGTGTGTATGTGGCCAAAGTGACATTTACAAATTGAAAATTGGTACAAAAAATAAAAAAATAACAATTTGGACATGGAGCCGCATTAAGATCTATAGGATTAAAAATGAAAACCGCAAAAGAAAAAAAAGTTTCTTAAAAACCTAGATCTAAAATGATATTAAGAGATATCGTGTTACAGGTATATAGTTGAGTTACTGCAAAAACTAAACTCAACAATTAAAATGATGCTGACATCAGTAATTTTTTACCCCCTGTAATTTGGCTCAAAATTTCAGGTGAAAATTGTCATTTTGACCCCCATCTGCAAAACCGATTTCTCTGTAAATAATTCAGTATTTAATATTTTGGCTTTCATCAATATTTATGTTTGTTTAATTAAAAGTCTATAACATACTTTGATTAAAATTTTTCAATGGTAGTGTAAAACAACACCCTTTTACCTTGCCAAAAACAGCTCTGTTCACAGCGACCCGTTTCGGTGCATGTTCCTTTAAATGCTAATGAGCTATGTTCATTATTACATGCAACAACAAAACACCTCGATCGCTTAGGAGACATTGTCTACAACCGCTCCGGCGTCGAAGCAATGGCGGACTGATGACAGCTCACTCAGGGCGGGTCTAAGGCAAAACGCTAGTGTCAATCAACAATTGTGGGAGGGGCCTGTGCAGAACTATGTCACTCTGCCAAGAATCTCAGAAACGTCTGATCTGAGAAAGTGATCATTATTATCTGTGATTTAAAAAAAAAAAGCACTGGGTGGATTTTTATCATTATAGGATGGTTGTGTGTGCACACTGCCAACACAAATTTATGTTCAAACAACATGTAAAAGTGAATATTGCATCCGATGATAACTTGTGTTTAGCTACATTCACACCTTTAGGTCTCAATATTCAGTTAAGGTCATCTTGTTCAAAAGTTTACACCCCTGGCTCTCAGTGTTGTGTGTTTCCTTGTTGAGCATGAGCAAATGCACTTAGTGTTGTGTGAGTCTCTCAGTTGTCTGAAATGAAGGATCTCATATTCATATATACCCAGTCATATATCCTGGAAAAAGCAAAGAATATGAAGGGCATGGACAATTTTTCTGAGGAACAGTGGGCAGTTTAACTGCTTAGGACAAACAAGGGACTTGAACAACTATCACAGAACTTAAAGACAGTCGTCGATCATCCAGGAACAGACGATTGGAATCAGACACTTAAGATTTAACTTGTTCGTAAACTTTTGAACTGGAAATCATTTTGAATGTAAATTAGAATAAAAATAAATTAGATTATTGTTTAAACTGTATTATTATTCAGTGTCGCTTGGCCTTGCAAACCTCTCCATCACACATTGTCAACTTTTTCAGTATTGATAGGCAGCTGCTAGAGATTTATTCTGCTGTTCATAAGGTGGGCTGGATGTTAGAGCATTTCTAAGTGGTTGCAAAAAGGCCCAGAAGAGTCTATATTGTGGTCCCTCAATGGCTCAGTTTCCTCCTTTGAGTCTATGGAATTTTGATTTTCAGGCATTTTTGATTGATTAGAAAAGTAACAGTACACCTCTCTTCAACAACCTGCACAATTTTATGTATAATTTATGTCCGTAGTAGTAACAGGTTGGGAGAAGTTACATTTAACAGGCTTAGGGGTTTGTTCAAATCAGACTTTAAAAAAAGACACAAAAACTGAGCGAACATACTTAAAGGGATAGTTCACCCAAAAATGAAAATTTGATGTTTATCTGCTTACCCCCAGGACATCCAAGATGTAGGTGACTTTGTTTCTTCAGTAGAACACAAAAGAAGATTACATGCAAAAAAATAAGAAATCAGGAAGGGGGCCATCACTTTTACACATCTATATATATATATATATATATATGTGTGTGTATATGCATGCATGTATGTTGTGCTCATGAGTTTACATACCCCTTGCAGAATATGCAAATATATTAATAATTTAAAGAAAATAAGAGCGCTTATGAAAATTGCATGTTCTTTTTTTGTCCTGAATAAGCTATTTCACATAACAGATGTTTATATATATATACTCCACAAGAAAAAATAATAACTGAATTTATATAAATGATCCCATTCAAAAGTTTGTGAATCTTAATACTGTGTATCGTTTCCTGGATGATCCACGACTCTTCTGTTTTGTGATGGTCGTTCATGAGTCCTGCGTTGGTCCTGAGCAGTTCAACTGCTTGCTGTTCTTCAGAAAAATCCCCCAGCTCCTGCACATTCTTTGGTTTTCCAGCATCTTCTGCATAATTGATCCTTTTCCAAAAGTGACTGTATGATTTTGAGATCCATCTTTTCACACTGAGGACAACTGAGGGACTCATATGCAACTATTCAAGAAGGTTCAAATGCTCAATGATGCTCCAGAAAGAAAAACCATGCATTAAGAGCCTTTGAAACTTTTGAACAGAATGGAGATAATAATTGCCTAAATATCATGTTTTTTTTCATTTAGTACTACCCTTCAGAGGCTACAGAAGATAGTTACATGTTTCTCAGAAGACAATATAAGTTAAATTTACCCTGATCTTCATATATATATATATATACAGTGGGGGAAAAAAAGTATTTAGTCAGCCACCAATTGTGCAAGTTCTCCCACTTAAAAAGATGAGAGAGGCCTGTAATTTTCATCATAGGTATACCTCAACTATGAGAGACAAATGAGAAAAAAAATCCAGAAAATCACATTGTAGGATTTTTAAAGAATTTATTTGCAAATTATGGTGGAAAATAAGTATTTGGTCAATAACAAAATTTAATCTCAATACTTTGTTATATACCCTTTGTTGGCAATGACAGAGGTCAAACTAGATTTAAAGATATGCTGTATTTTTTCTAAGAGTAGCAGAATAGAATAGGCTTATTGTCACTTTTATCACATGTACACCTGGTATTAAAATCCATATTGGGTGATATGATCAGAAAATGGACAGCAATAAATGCAAGTGTAAACACCTGAATGATCTCATCATTCAAACCATTCAGAGGTAGTTAGAAACCCATGTGACTGCATCGCTATTATATCGCCTTGATGTCTGCCAAACACCAGCATCTAGACTGCAGACTTATCTGTCAATCAATCACTTTTACCAAAACAATTAGTAAAAAACTTAAGTCGACCCCCAATGTACATATTATATCTATATTTTGAACTCCAATTCCAAATATTCATCATCCACATGATTATTTTGTGCTGTGTTTGTGTAGATGCTCCAGCAGGTGAAGAATCTAGCTCTGGAGGCTGAGACAGAGCTGGAGCGTCAAGATGAGGCTCTGGATGAATTGAGCTGTTCTGCTGACCGCACCACCATGAACATTAACAGACACACTCGCCGCATGAGGAAACTACTGTGAACTTAATGTCACCAGATTAATGGTAAGATATGCACAGGAGTGTGTTTCTCAATAGAGCACTCTTTATACTTGAAAAATTCATTTGATCTTTATGAGTAAGGTTTGGCTATTTAGAAAGCTGTAGAGCTGAAAGCACAAATGTGGTTGGGGACAAATGACTGATCATGTTAACATACAATAGCAATAGTATTCTCATAAAAGTTAAGTGTCAAATAGGAGCCAGAACCCCCAATGTACATATTATATCTATATTTTGAACTCCAATTCCAAATATTCATTATCCACATGATTATTTTGTGCTGTGTTTGTGTAGATGCTCCAGCAGGTGAAGAATCTAGCTCTGGAGGCTGAGACAGAGCTGGAGCGTCAAGATGAGGCTCTGGATGAATTGAGCTGTTCTGCTGACCGCACCACCATGAACATTAACAGACACACTCGCCGCATGAGGAAACTACTGTGAACTTAATGTCACCAGATTAATGGTAAGATATGCACAGGAGTGTGTTTCTCAATAGAGCACTCTTTATACTTGAAAAATTCATTTGATCTTTATGAGTAAGGTTTGGCTATTTAGAAAGCTGTAGAGCTGAAAGCACAAATGTGGTTGGGGACAAATGACTGATCATGTTAACATACAATAGCAATAGTATTCTCATAAAAGTTAAGTGTCAAATAGGAGCCAGGTAGTTTTGAATGCTCACATGTGTATTTGGGAATTTGTGAATAACACTCATGGTTTTGCAACTTATAGTCAAATAAGCTTCTTGGACATAAAGGCCATCAGATCTCTACATTAGGCTTTATCATAAGTCTAACAGATACATAATACAGGTGCATCTCAATAAATTAGAATGTCGTGTAAAAGTTCATTTATTTCAGTAATTCAACTCAAATTGTATTGGTTGTCATTAATTAATTGGCACTATTAGCAAGAACTACAGAAAACTTCTCCTAATTTGTTTCTTTTACCGTTTACTTGAATAATAACATGAAAAACATGAAGCAGTATTTACCCTCATTTGGGGTCTAGGGTCTGTTTGATGTTACCTTCATAAAAAAACTGGTTCCCTTCATTTCAGTGGCATAAGATTTTGTGACATTACCCGTCTATACACACACACACACACACAAACTGGGCTTGATTAGGTTGTTCTGAAGGTATGTAAAAAAGGTTATTCATGGTATTGAGTGCGCAAATGGACCCTACATTAGCAATTAATGGGAAAGTTGATCAAATAAGAGTTTCTCTCATTAGTCACTCATTGTTCACTCCTGTGTCTTGTTACCCTGTTCGGTCTGTGTGTATTTATGCTCCTGGGTTTTCAGTGTTCATTGTCTGGTCTTATCCGTCCACGTTTAAGGTTACTTGGTTCTGTTCCTTGGTCTTTGTGTTTGTTTATCTTCATTATTATTATTATTTATTAAAATTGATCTGCAATTGATCTGCTTCGTAAAATTACAGTTGAACCACTGTTGTCACATGGACTTTTTTACCGATGTCCTTACTACGTTTATGGGTCTGGGAACATTTCAATTGCATTGCTTTCTATGTAGGGTCAGAAAGCTCTCAGAGTTCATCAAACATATCTTAATTTGTGTTCCGAAGATGAACGAAGGTCTTACAGGTTTATAACGACACGAGGGTGAGTAATTAATGACAGAATTTTCATTTTTGGGTTAATTAACCCTTTAATAAGCAGGTCAAGTCATGTCTGCCAAGTGCTAGATGTGACTTCACGTTAGAACAATACATCAACTTGGCCTTAAGACTTCACTTCTCCCCTTACACTGCCTGTGATCCCAAAGCTCTCAAGTGTGGTGGTCTCTGCACTGCTTGTGCTTCCAAGTCTGGTGGTCTCTACATTCGCAAGTCCGGTGATCCTGGAGGCCTCAAGTCTGGTAGTCCCTCCACTGTCAGCTGTACATCTTGTAATGACAACCGCCATCTTGTGTGTTTGGGGCGCACACATTGCTATAGCTTCTATGAGGTGGTCATGTCTACTACAGCATTCCCTAAGCTGTCTTTTTGCTTGGTTACAGACACAGTTTGTCCCTGAACTCTCAGTGCCCCCTGTTGGCTCTGTTAATTCTCAGGGCTACCCTCGCACTCCCTGTGCTCTCTGTCATGGCCATGGAGGCTGTCCTTGAACTCTCTGTGCTCTCTGACAGCTCTGCTACGGCCACGGAAGCCAACCTTACAATCCCTATGATCCTCGTCTCAGTTCCACCATGGCCGCTAGATCCCCAATGGTCTTCTGGCTCTGCAATGGGGCCCTGTTGCACCGGCTTTGCTATGAAAGTCCTTATCTCGGGTGTAATGGTCCCTTGCTCTGCCGTGGCTTCCCACTCTGCCAACACATTCTCACTCTCAACGGTTTATGGTACCCCTTTAGCGTCACTTTTCGATGTGCAGGGTCCTCCATTGTTTTTAATTTAAACACTGTAATCAATTTACTGTAGTTGTGTAAATTGTGATTTTTAAAAAAATTCACAAGATTCTGTACATGTATCAACCCTTTAACAGTAATGCACTCGAATCCTGCTTTATTGTCATTGTTTCATGTGTGGTGATTTATTAATTTTTTTGAATTACTTTGTTGATAAGTGTAAACTCATAATGCTATATTTATTTACTGTATTTTTTGTGATCAAGGCAAGTGTAAAATAAACTCAGACATGCTTTATTGTCACTATTTGTTGTCACTCTTCTGTGAGGGGATTGATTTGTTGATAACAAATTGAGTTTAACAATTGTTTTAAAGCAACTTCACAGTAATAAACAGAAAAATAGCAGTGTTAATGTTGCTTCTGTAGCTCTACAGAAGACAATCATGTCATTATTCAACAATTTAGTTCAATGTTGATTCAATGTAGGTCAAGAAATGTGATAATGTTGCAGAGTCCATCAATTATGAAACCAATTAAATTTAGCTATAAAGCAGATCTGCCAACAACAGTGCCATTATTGATCTCAATTTAGCTCAACGTTGATTCATTTTACATGACAACAATGTACTAGAAATGTACTTTTTTTTTGCACTTTTGAAAAGTTTCACATACAGACGATGACATTGTCAAAACAATCCCTGTTCACACTGATTCTTGAAAACAACTAAAAACTGTATTATGCATGCCAGGCCAGCAGTTGGAGATGTCACTTTGTAAAGAAACACTGCACACCTGCACACATACCTATAGACTGAAAACGTAATACGCATGCACTGTTTTCACAAATTCACATTTCTGTAGTTTACAAAATCGGAGACGATGACCATATTATTTCAGAAACTTGCAGTTTAAAACCCATTTTCAAAAGTCTGTGCTTTCAGGCCCCCAAAATGCCAATGTGTAAATGGATGGCCAAATGGTTGAAAATGGTGTCATGTAAGTGCCTCCTTAGACTGACACTTGTGGAGGAACCTTGTTATTACAGCATTCTGTTGGCACAAGAAGTTAAGCATCTGTTCGCCACCCTGACGTGTAACTGGTGTGTGACTTTGACAAAAAACTTAGAGACCAATGTGTGCTAAAAGCATAGATTGTTTTCTTCTGGCAAGGATAGAGGACCCCTTGGAGTATTGACTTCTGGAGAAAGACTTGTAAAAATGGCTGGAGTACATGTCGTGTCTAAGTCAGAATTCCTTTCACACTACACAACTTTCTAGTATCATGAAGCTGCTGTGGATTGCACAGTACACAACGGACCGGCGACTGGGGTCACACGTTACATAATATTTCACTAGGAATAATCTCCGACAACTCTGCCTCATGTACAAACTGCATGCACAAGAAATGAAACACAAAATAACATGTCTCCTCTGCCTGAGATTTCCCTTGCCCTGTATCGTACTCTCTAATTGGCTGTAGGTCATCACCAATGTAATTTCTAGTTAAAACACATTTCACATTGCAAACACATTTCATACTCTCATCATGACAAAAAACGTGTACTGAGTAGATACTACATTTGAATTTGAAATTACTATGCGATCATTAAAAAAAGTATATGAATGATATATAGTATGAATGAATTTTGGATTTATTACATCCGCCATGCTCTTATGGCACTTTTCCACTGCGTGGTACGACTCGGCTCGGTACGGCTCAGTACGGTACGGCACGGCTCGGTTCGGCTCGGTTTGTGTTTCCACTGCAGTTTAGTATCGCTTTAGAGTGGGCGGGATTATTCACATGTCATTATAGTTGCACCGCCTGTACTGCCGTGACTCATTCCGCGTCGCCCCATCAAGCTCTCGCTGGATCCGCTCCTCTGCTATCAACGAGAGGAACGTCTGTACTTCCTCAACAGGAGGAACAGCCACTTTTGGGTTGTTAAAAAAAGGTGCGCTCGTTCAAAACAGTTGCATTTGATCCTTCGCTGGCTGTGCTGATTTAAATCTAGCGTTTCTTTTGTGTTTGTGTCGCAAGTTCAGTGACGCAGGTAGTGACGATTCTCTCCGGCCAGTCAGTGTTTAGAGTGGGCGGGATTATTCACGTCATTATAGTTGCACCGCCTGTACTGCCGCGACTCATTCCGCGTCGCCCCATCAAGCTCTCGCTGGATCCGCTCCTCTGCTATCAACGAGAGGAACGTCTGTACTTCCTCAACAGGAGGAACAGCCACTTTTGGGTTGTTAAAAAAAGGTGCGCTCGTTCAAAACAGTTGCATTTGATCCTTCGCTGGCTGTGCTGATTTAAATCTAGCGTTTCTTTTGTGTTTGTGTCGCAAGTTCAGTGACGCAGGTAGTGACGATTCTCTCCGGCCAGTCAGTGATCAGCAGAGTTTACACGTCACATTTTGGTAACGGTACGGTTCGCTTGGAACCCCAACCGAGGTGGTACTAAAAAAAGTACCAGGTACCAGGTACTGTACCCAGTGGAAAACCCCCCAAAAGTGAACAGTACCGAGCCGTACCGTGCCGTACCATGCAGTAGAAAAGCGCCATTAATGTCACGTCACCTACAAGTCTTTGTGTCGCTTCACTGCCATTCATAAATTC